TTGTCCCGACAGCCTGGCCCGCGGGGTTGTCCCAACGGCTGCGCGACGTGACCAGTAGAGAACGCGCCTGTGCTGGCCGTGGCGGCGACGGCGCCGAGGAACATCGACATGCGCGCTCATGCAACAGGAAGGGGAGGAGGTGGCGGGGCGCGGAACAAACAGGGGGCGAGGATGGGGACAACGTAAGGAGTGGAAGGGGGGCCCGCGCCAAGGCGAGAGGAAATATACGCAGAAGAGACAGCCAGGACGCCTCACCAACCACGAGGACGACGGTGATGGCTTTTTCCAGATTCGCCCAGAGGATTCTTATGTGGGGTTTTTATGTTTATGCCATTTTTTGGTCCCCTATCCTCGTCTCGCGGCTCGCACACCTGGATCCCGTACTTGCCCTTGCGAGGAAACGGGAAGTCTGCGCCTGAGCCTACATCTCCTGGCTGGGCCCGCCCGGGCACAAGATCGCCTAGATTAGCATGGGGGCGACGGGTGTTGAGGGAAACGGGTCCTGGACCCTGGGGCCTTTCCCCAGAACCAATTCCTCATCCTGAGGCGTTTCCTGACAGTCCCGGGGCCCGTGGAATGCCCCAGGAAGCCAAAAACAGCGAAAAACCTCAGGACCTGCTTTCTTCAGGACCCGTTTCCCCCATGGCGCTCCTGGCTTGGCCGGGAATGCAGCTGGTCCTGGGCCCGGGACTGACCAGGGAACGACCGGCGCAGGTGTGCAGGTGACGCCCTGACCTTGCGGTGCCGCGGCTTGCCGAAGGAGTAGCTGCACCCGGCCGACCTGGGGGGAACAAAAAGATATCGTTGTGGATGTCATGACAGTGGACACTCTAACAATCCGATCATTGAACTCCAGATGTGTTTCACATGTGTATAACATGTTCTAAACATGTTCCGAACTGATGTTTGGAGTTTAGTGCACATCTTTGAAACATGGTTTAGACATCTGGAAATGGTTTGGCAACATGTTTGAAGGGGCCCCAGGACACACAAATAAATACACACAAATAAAAGTATTCCCCATATTTTCCTATATGTTTGGGGTTTCTGTCTTCCCCCCCACTTGCCATATTTTCCCATATTTTCTGGGGGATCGACGATTAATTGTGTTTGTGTGTTTTTTCCCTCCTGAAAACATGCTTCCCCTCCATTGATCGACTTCGACACAGATATCGATACTGATCAGCAGCGAGCCGGGGGGGGGGGCGAGGAGGGGCGGGGCGGGCCTTCTCGGAAGGCGCCGGAGCTCCCGGGCCTTGTGATGAAGTGTTCGAAGCCTTCCCCGAAGACGCGAGGACGCTTCTCGGAAGACCACAGGGATTCTGAGGAGCCCCGCCGCCTTCCGAGAAAGCATCCTCCTTCTCGCCTCCCCCCCCCTCGCTCGCCGCCGAACCGAGGCTGCTATAGTTACTCACCGGTTCTGACCAAGTGTGCGCTCTGACTCGGATTCCGATGCGACCCTAGGCGTGGAGACGAGACCCAAAAACGACAATCGACAAGCGTGTTCCACTACTCGCAAAGTCGCTACTCGCAAATGGCCTGGATCTGCCGCAGGGAATGCACGATAAAGTACACAAAGGCAGACGTATGGATCTTTTCGGACGTTTGCGAGTAGGCACTTTGCGAGTAGTGGAACGCGCTCGGCGAGACAAGGACAAGGTGGGAAAAACGTCAAATCAAATGTCCTGGCGTTCCCCAAGTTGCTCGGGGTTGCCGGATTGCCTGGTTGCTCGGGATGTCTGCGTGGCCCGGGTGCCAGGGCTGCCCAGGTTGCCCAGCTTGCGAAACAGCGCCAAGCAACACCAAGCAGCGCCGAGAACGCCACGCAAATGCCAGGCGATGCCAGGCGATGCCAGGCAACGCCGAGCGATGGCAAGCAATGCCGACGAACACCGAGCAACGCCGAGCGACACAAAGATGTGCCAGCAGTGCCAAGCAACGCCAAGCAATGCCCTCCCCGCTGGGTCACTTCCCCCAGAAGCGTTCCAAACTTCCGAACGCCCGCGCGCGAAGCGCGTCAGGGGCGGGGCGCGAGGCGCCGGGCGGGGGCCCGGCGCCAAGCCGAGCAGCCCGCGCAGACCTCCCAAGAGTTTGCGAGCATCATTGGACCAATCTCGGAGGATGAGGAGTGGGGAGGGGGAGGAGGGGGAGGACGAGGAGGAGGAGGAGGAGGAGGAGGTGGAGAAGGAGGAGGTGGAGAGGGAGGAGGAGGAGGAGGAGGATCCTCACTGGAGACTGGCCTTGGCCCCGCTGGCCGCCTCACCGAGCTTCAGGTGGGGATATGATGTGCCTGCTCCTGCAGGTCTCGCGGGCCCTGGGAGGGTGGGTTGCAGAGGGGAACAGGGACACGCAAAGGAATGGACGCAGACTCCGGGAGTCCCCCCGTCGTCCTAGATGTTCTGGGTGTCCGTCTTCCCCCCCACTCCCACAGCTTCCCCTGTTCTCCGGGGAGTCGACGACGACTTGTGCCTGTGTGCTTTGCTTCCCCCTCCTGAGGTTGGATCGGGAGCGGCCAAGAGGGGGGTGTCCAAGAGGGGGGGGTGCAAATCATGACCGGCGGCACGTGCGCGGCCCATGGGGCGGGGGGGGGGGCAGGGGCGCAATGAAATGAGAAGAGGCGCCGCGAAATCTGGGGAAATACCATGGCCCCCGCCATGTGATCGATCCCCCTCCCAATAGTCCCCCCCCCCCCCCTCTCTGCCGCCCCCGACTGAAGGGGCCGAGGCACCGCGGCCCACTGGGGACGGTGACGCGGTCGGGGGCCTGCGGCTTCGCGTGCCGCGGCGGCGCCCCGGCAACACGCCGTGCCCTGCGGGCGGACGGCGCGCCGCTCCGCTCCGCGGGGGGGGGGGGGAGGCTCGGACACGAGGGGCAAACGACAGGGGGGGGATAGGCACAGGGGGGGTTGCATCGACCTGGAATCGGCGATGCATCGCCGATAGATCGGCGATGCGCCCCTGATAGTGGATCCGAACCTTCCTGGGCAGGTTGGGGCCATCGGGCCCCTGTCGGCGATCAATGGGCGATTGCGTGTCGATGTATCCCCGCCTATGCTTATGTCGGGCGTGTCCCCCCTACAGGGGGATTTTCGACGAAAAATTAAAAATACCCCAAACAAATACCCCAAAAAGGTCAAAAAATTGTCAAAGAATAATCCCCAGACTATTTTTGGCCTATTGTTTGATTATTTGTGGGGTGTCTTTAATTCCTCGTCGAAAATCCTCCTGTAGGGGGACAGGCCCGACTTGACACGAGGCCCTTCCGAAGGCCACATCGCCATGGGGGTGTAATAACCAGCCTCGAACTTATCCGTGTTCCTGAGATAGACACGCCAAAAGGCGATGACAGTCTTAGGGATGCACCCTCAGAAACTGAGGGTAATCCCTAAGATCGCCATCGTGACGAGGCGATGCCCAACATAAGGATAAGGACAGGTTTCAGGCTGGTAATGTAAGAAGGCACGTGTCGCGAGGCACAGGGCACAAGGGTACCCTTGAGCTGGCAGGGTCGACCCACGAATCCGGGCCGGCTGTAGCGCGCCGCGCCGAAGCGAGGTGGGCCAGGTCTTGCGGAGCGACACGCTGAACCAAACAGCCGGACCGTAGACGGAGCCCCGTGCCCAGACCGCCTCCAGCCAGCCTGCCCAGGTGCCTGGCGCCGCGATTTCTTGACAACGTGGCTCCTCGGAGGCCTATTGTTGCTGTTGGCGGCGGTGGTGGTGGTGCTGCTGCTGCTGTTGGTTGTTGTTGTTGCTGCTGCTCTTGCTATTGTTGTTGCTGTTGTTGCTGTTGTGGTTGTGGTTGTGGTTGTTGTTGGTGGTGGTGTTGTTATTGTGGTTGTTGCTATTGCTGTTGATGGTGTTGCTGTTGTGGTTGTGGTTGTTGTTGATGTCGTTGTTGGTGTCGGTGGTGTTGCTGTTGCTGCTGATGTTACTTATGCTGTGGTTGTGGTTGCGGTTGTGATTGTGGTTGTAATTGTTGCTGCTGCTGCTGATGATGTTGTTGAGTTGTTGGCTCTTCGGAGGCCTGCTGTTCATTTCGGACGACGATGCTGACTTGTTGTTCGTGGTGCTCTTTTGACTGCCGGCCGGCGACCAGGCGGAATTCTTCTCCAGGCTGAGAACCGGGGCGGAAGAGGACTGCGCCAGCGCCCCCCTCGTCGGCCTCTCCTTGGCCAGCGCCCTGCGCAGGCGGAGCGAGCTCTCCTTGGCCTCGAGGCTCTGGGTTTCCCGGAGCGAGTCCTCTGTGGCAGGGGGCAAGATCTGGGCGCTGCGGTCTTCCTCCTCCTTCCCCCATCCCCCTCCTCCATCCCTCCATCCTTCATCCTGCACCTTCCCCCTCCTCCCTCCTCCCTTCTCCCTCCTCCCTCGACCTCCTCCTCTCCTCCTCTTCTCCTCTCATCTTGTCTCCTGTTACGCCTCCTGCTCCTCCTCCTCCTGCTGCTCCTCCTGCTCCTCCTTTTCCTCCTCATCCTCCTCCTTTTCCTCCTCCCCCCTCATCATCATCATCATCATCATCATCATCACCATCATCATCATCATCATCATCATCATCATCATCATCATCAGCATCATCATCATCATCATCGTCATCATCATCATCATCACCATCATCATCATCATCATCATCATCATCAGCATCATCAGCATCATCATCATCATCATCATCAGCATCACATCGGCCCAATGAAAGTTCCTGGAATTGTCATCACGACGCTGGCCGGCGGAAGTCGACGGAAGTAAAACGAGGCGGAAGACGGGGGAAGGCCGGTGGAAGGCTTGCCAATGTCAGCGGAATTACACGACGCCCCTTCCGAACCCCCTACCCCCCGTAAAAGCTTAGCAGTGTTGTCTTCCTCCGTGGGCCGGGCGGGATCCCGCCTGGCTTCTTCCGCTTTAATATTATAAGTTTAGTTCAGGACGATCAAAATCCCACCCATTAAAAATGGGGTAGACCAAAATCCCGGGCCTTTCACGGATCCCACCATGCTGGGATCGGCTCGAAGTAAGATGTGGCTCATAAGTTGCAGTATTATTGCCGTGTTGGGGTCGTCTTGAGGTCATCTTGAGATCATATCCCGGTCATGTTTGGATCACGCAACCATCGCGTGGTCATTATGAGGCCACCCTGGGTGCGGTTGGATCCATCTTGTTGCCATCGGGCCATCTCGGCGTCACGCGTTGCTCATGTGTTTCGTCATCTGCGAGTCGGCCTGAGACGGTCCAGAATCCATGGCGGCATCGCGTTGGGGTGGCATCATCCTGGGTCCTCTGGACGTTATCGTCCGTGGCCTGAGGCATTCCTGGAAGCATGTTGTGGCCATGGGACGTCTTGGGATCGCGTGCGTGCGAACGCTGAGCACGCGCGCGCGCGACTTTTCATCTTGCCGACGGGCTTACATACATATTACTCCTCTTGCGAGTTTCCAAGGAAACTTTTGTTGGAGTAAAGCATCATCATCATCATCATCATCATCATCATCAGCATCATCATCATCATCATCATCATCATCATCATCATCATCAGCAGCAGCATCATCATCATCAGCAGCATCATCATCCCCCATCCCTTTTACTTGTGAACAACGCCTCCCTGCCGCGCCCCCAGGCGTGTCGGTGGGGCGAGTCGGGCGCTTCGCCCGAGAAATCCTCCCCATGTCTGGCCCCGAAACCTGACACGTGAGACAGCTTCACGGATGGAGGGCGGCTCTTTTTCAAGCTGTGGCTCTCGCCTGAGCGCCGCGCGCAGAGTCGACTTATTAAACGTTTGCCGCGGCGTAGGGGGAGCCGCACGGACGAAGTCGCAGGAAATGGCGCTGCGGTGCAGGCAGGACGTCAGGGCGCAGCGGTCACGTGGATTCGCGGTGCAGGTCCCGAGAACAGTGCTGTGGCACGACCTGGGACTGTCAGAACGCAGCAGTCGCAGTGCTGCATCACCAAATTCGGGAGCGGCCAAGAGGGGGGTGTCCAAGAGGGGGGGGTGCAAATCATGACCGGCGGCATGTGCGCGGCCCAGCGGGGGGGCCAGGGACGTAATGAAACAAGAAGAGGCGCCATGAAACCTGGGGAAACATCATGGCCCCCGCCATGAGATCCCCCCCCCCCTAGTCCTCACCCCCCTCTTTTCCGCCCCCGACAAATTCAACAAGGACTCGGAGCTGGACTCCCCCTGCAGGTCGTGCATCACATGAAGGTCGACGGCAGTCCACGGATCGGCTCCCCCAGGGGCCCGCTCGAGCGCGAGATCGCGAATATGGTGAACCATGCGAAGTGTAGTCCATCCCTCAGAAGCCGGGCAAGGGCTGGCAATCCGTGGCTGCTAAAACCGACCTCCGGGAAATAGTCTTCGTCCTTCCGGGAAGAAGCCCGTTGACTGTTTCGCGTGCCGCGCCTCACTCCGGGAAGCTGTTTTTTCCTTCCGGGAGGGCCGCTTTAGCAGCCACGGTCTTAGCAGCCCTCGCCCAGCTTCCGAATCCCGCCCTGGCGAGCCGTGTAGGAGGCACGGACAAGCGGCAGTTTTTCAGCAGCTCTCAACGACTGGCGGAACCGGAGGCGCGTGGCAGCATCAGTGCAGAGGCCGCGGCGAGGGCTCGCTCGGGAGCCGTGCTGGCAAGCAGCCACGCGGACGCGGCTCTGCCTCTGCTCCTCCGCTAGTTCTTTTTTGCTTCTACCTGGCCACGGCCGCGGCGCGCCAGGCAGACGTGGCGGGCGCGGGCGGCGCGATGGCGTGGGCGAGGCGCTCGCGCCCGAGCGGGCGCCTCCCGCAGGGCCGCGTGCCCTGGTGGGGGGTGTGCTCGCGGGCCCGCGCCCCGAAGGGGGGAGCGCACGCGGGGCCCACCGAGCAGCGCGCTGTTTGCTCCTCCGCGTCGGGGCGGCGCCGCCCCGTCTCGGAGTCCAGCTGCTGCACCAGACGACACTACGGGGCGACAGCTTCGTGGCTCAGTCGGGGCAGGACAGCGGTGGATTCCCCGAGGTTTGCTTGGTGCTCCTCCTCCTCCTCCTCCTCCTCCTCCTCCTCCTCCTCCTCCTCCTCCTCCTCCTCCTGCTCCTGCTCCTCCTCCTCCTCCTGCTCCTCCTCCTCCTGCTCCTCCTCCTCCTCCTGCTCCTCCTGCTCCTCCTGCTCCTGCTCCTTCCTCTAGCCATGTTGCGCGAGCTCCTCGCCGATAAGCGAGCGGCCTCCCCTGCACGCGAGGAGGGCGGCATCCCCGTGCGGGGGCGGAGGGCGGCACGTCTTGCGATGAGGCAATGCTCTTCGTGAGGCAGTCCTCTCGCGCGGGCTTCGTTTCTCCGTTCTCCATGGCTCCACGGCTCCTTCCTCCAGCCATTTCGCGCCCGAGGGGGGGGGCCCTGCCCACCCCTTGCACGGAGCGCGCAATGGGGCGCTTCGAGCGCCGACTTCTCGACGTGGCCTCGCGCTCGAAGAAGCCACGGGGAGGCCGGGCGCCCGAGAGACCGCCGGCGATGCCGTGCTGAAAGATCAGGCACGCGCGCGCGAGGCCGCCAGGAGGAAAGCCCTTTCCCGTTCCCTCCTCGCCCTCTCCCCTCGACTACACGCAGGGGTGACCCTGCGTAAGGGTGACCTTTGGTGCGCGGCCTCTTGGGGGCCGCGGGGGGGGGGGGGGGGGGGGGCAAACACGAGCGCGCAAGACGCTCCTGCCGCATCGCGCTCGGCGATCGGGGTGCCCCATCGGGCCCGCACCAAAGGTCACTCCGGCGAATGGTCATTCTTACGCGTCGTTCATTTCTAATCGTGCTCATTTCTACTTCTGCTCGTCTCTAATTGTTCCTGGCCCCCCAGTGGCCAGGAAGAGGCCCAGGGTATCATACTTAGAAATGAAAGGATCTTGGCCCCCCCAAAAAGTCAAAGAACTCTCGAGCAATTAAGAACGAACAGAGTGTACGTGTAGTCGGTCCCTTCTCCCCCATTGCTCCCGTCTGCCAGGGGCGAGCAGCGGCGCCAGTCCCCGTGGCCCTGGCGCACAAGTACAGGACCCGTCCGTCCGACCACTTCGCGCGACTGCGGCGAGAACGCGCGAGCCGACGTCATCAGCTGCAGACCTGAGAACAGTGCGCGCGGCAGACGCCACCATGCGAAGCGGGCTGCAGGAGCAAACGGCATCGGCTACAACGCTGGGGTCGGTTCATGCATCAAGGCAGGCAGGCGAGAGCCTCCCATCAGCTACGACGCTGGGATCTGCTCGTGCGCGATGGCAGGCTGTGGTGCTGGCGAGTTGAGGGCACCGCGCCCAGGCGTCCTCCGCTACAGTGCTGGAGTGGGCGCTGCCGAGGAAAGGCAGGCAGCGGCAGCATCTGGCACTGCGAGGAAGACGTAATTATGGGGAGAGGCCGCCCAGCTGCAGCGCCAGGAGCAGCTCGTGCGAGCAAGTGGACGCGGGAGAAGGTCCTCAGCTAGAATGCGAGAATCGGCTCTTGCGAAGGGGCGTGCAGCGGCAGCATATGGCACTGTGGAGGCGGAGTCAGGGAAGGGCCATGAACTGCAATGCAGGGATCAGCTCTTCTGAGACGGCGTGCAGTGGCAGAAACTGGCACCGTGAGAAGGACGTAGCAGAGGGTCATCAGCTGCAACGCTGGGGCCAGCTCTTGTGAGAAGGAGCGCAGTGGTAGCATCCGTCACTGTGAAAAATTGGTTCCTGAACCCCGGGGCTTCCCCAGGGCTCCAGCTCGTTATCCAGAGTTGTTGTTGCTACGACCACGGGACCTGGGAAGGGCCCCGAGGTAAGAGAAGGCGACAAAAACGGGGGGGGGCTGTCCATCAGTCAGGACTACACCATCTCTTCACTGGAACCTCAAGAGGGGAGTTCGCAAAGCATGGCCCGAGTCACGTGCGCGGCCTAAGGGGGAACCAGGAGACACGTCGAAGAAGAATGATCAACATCATAATAGTAATTTTAAGAAGAATAATACCGAATAATAATTCGCCGGCCCAACGGGCCAGGGCGTGCTAAGATCTCCGGTAACTGGTTAACAGTATTAACAGTATTTCTAGTTCGCGCGCGCGGGGCGGCCCCTGGGGGTCCCCCGGCGAAAAGTACCCCGACCAACGCCCGGTCGCCGCCCGACCGCCGCCCGACCAAGTCTACTCAGAGATGGTTTTCCTTCTGGGTGCGGCCTCTCAGGCTCCCCAGAGCGCGCTCAGAGTGCCCCAAGAGGCCCCCAAGACTGCCCAAGAGGCCCCCGAGACGCCCAAAGAGCGCTCGAAGACGCCGAAGATGACCCCAAGACGGCCCAAAAGGCCCCCAAGACAGCCCAAGAGGCCTCCAAGACGCCCCAAGAGCCTTCCAAGAGGCCTCCGAAGAGAGCCCCAAGAGGCCAAAATCGTTGATTTTCATTGTTTTTTCTATGTTTTTTGTGTTCTGGCTTTTTCGGCTTCCGGACGCTCCAAGACGGCCCAAGAGGCCCCCAAGACCGCTCCAAGACGGCCCACGAAGCTCCCAAGACGGCGCCGAAACGACCCAAGAGAGCCCTCAAGACGGCCCAAGTGCCGCCCAAGACGGACCAAGAGGCCCCAAGACGGGCCCAAGAGGGACTCAGGAGGGATACCGAGAACTCAAAAATGGAGCCCTCCGTCCCAGAAGGCGCCCAGGAGGTCCCAAAGAGGCCCCAAGAGGCCTCCAAGAGGCCCCAAGATGTCGCCAAGAGGCCCCAGGAGACTCCCAGGAGGCCCAAAAGAAGCCCCAGAAGGCTTCAAACATGTCTCCCAGGCGCCCCCGAACGGCCTCTCAACAGACCCCAAGAGGCCCCCCAAAGAAGCATCTTGACGACGACTCTATTTCGCCCCATCGAGAGACGACCCCCAGGGAACTGCTTCACCATCAAAACTCCCCACGCAACGCGTCCGAACGACACCCGCCCCCAAGAGCGCAACATGGGCAACGAACACACAGACAAAAACCAGCGATGCCATATCACGGGCCGGCGGAATGAGCGAAGCGATTCAATAATAATGATAATAATAATATTGATAATCATAACAATATTAATAAGAAGAAAAATGATACCGAATAATAGTAATAATAATAAAAATAAAAATAATAATAATAATAATAATAATAAGAATAATAACAATAATAATAATGCTAATAATAATAATAATACTAATAATATGGCTAATCATAGCAATAATACTAATAATGAGAAAGCAATAGTAATAATACAACTGATAATAATAAGAATACAAATAAGAATGATAATAATAACAATAATGGTAATAATAGTGATCAGAAGAAGAAGAAGAAGGGCCATGAGATCCAGGGAGGTAGGCCTCCTGGGCGCCCCTGATGGAAGAACAGACACCGGCACGCGCACAAACTTCCGGAGGCCCGCGCGGACTTCATGGGGCCGGCGCCGATCTCCGCGCGCAGGAGCGCGCCGCCGGAGGCGCCGCACTGGAGGGAGGGCCCCGTAGAACCGCACACGCTAGAGCCGGACACCCAACATCCCTCGAAACCAATTCTTCCGAACGGCGGCACGAACAGAATACTGCACTGCAGCACTTCCAGAATAAACCCGGACACGGGCCCCAAAGGCCTGCAAGACACCCCTGAACCCGGAGACAAGCCCGGATCCTGCAGTGCAGCAAACAGAACGTGCACGGGCGCTGAAAAACGGGATTTTGCAGGAAAGGACGTCGTTTCCTTGGTTTTCCGTTTCCTGGTTTATCTGTGTCCTGGTCTCTGGGGGCCTGATGGAGGGAGGGCTCGGGAGGTCCGGCCAGGCCTCCCAGAGCTTGTGCTCCCGCCGCCTCCTCTTCTAGAGGAGCCCAGGGACACCCAAAGAGGTAGGCACACATGACAGGGCTCCCCACACTTTCCCAGATTTCCTGGGGGGTCGTCTCCCCCCCAATTCCCATATTGTCCCATATGTTCCTTGGAAGTCGACGATTCATTGTGTCTGTGTGTTTTGTCTCCTCCTCATCTTCCCCGATCCACGGCGGGGTCCTTCTGGGAGGAAAGAGTCCGCAGCAACTCGCTGAAGGTGGGCTCGCCGATCGCCGGGTCGGTGTCCTTTGGGTGTGGCGTCGAAGGGGGTCCTGAGGGAAACTGAGGAAGCCAAAAGGTACCAATACCACTACTCCCCGGACCTCTCCCGGGGGTGCGTTCTGACTAGAACTTCGAGGCGAATCGGCGAATCCGGCAGTGGCGACGAAGGCCTCCGTGGAGGCCCCCAAAAAAGCGCCGGGAGTAGCAGTATGGGTACCTTTTCCTCCTCCGAGAAGCGGGTCCTGGACCCTGGGGCCTTTCCCTGGGACCAGCTGTTCGCCCCGAGTCGCGCTGCGACGCCCCCGTGGCCTGCGAAGGGCAGCCCGAGAACGGCGAAGACCTGAAGAACCTTATGTTGCATCCTCGGGGGACCTTGTCTGTCCCGTCGCGGCCCTGTCCGCGTCGAATCCGTGTCGAATCCATGTCGGACGCATCGGATCCGTGTCGAATCCGTGTCGAATCCGCGTCGAATCCACGCCAAATCCGCGTCGAGTCCGCATCGAGCACGCGTCGGGCCCCCCCAAAGACACCAATTTTTGGGACAGGCGAAGTCCCCCGAAGATGCAACAGAAGGAACCGTTTCCCTCAGCACCCTATCGGCGGCGACATCAGAACCCTCCCCCAGCGAAACGCTAATAGCCTCCAAAATGGACCCCCCAAATGCAGACCCGCGAGAGGGGCCTCAAAATGTAGACCCGCACAAGGGGGCTGACATGTGGACCCCGACCAAAGAAACCCGGAAGTGTCGACCCTCGCGAAGCCTAAGCACACAGAATACAGACCCCGACCTGAAAGGTCTTGACGTGTAGACCGCGCGCGAAGGGCGGGGGCTTCCCTTTTGGGGGTGATTCGGGCAGGTCTGCATTTCAAGAGCCGCTTGTTTGTTCCCCACTACCGCCACCAACCATCGATTCTCCTGAACCGATGGGAGGCGGGGATAGGGATCAGATCTCGACACGTGTTCGACGAATTCCGAACCATGCCCCCGCCGCCCATCGACTTGCCTGGATCGTGGATCGGCGATGGTCGGGCTCGGAAATCGCCGCCAACCCTTTGCTGGGGGGCAAACAGACAGACCTCGCTTTTGACCACCCTCGCTTCCAAGAGGTACCAAGCGATGCCAAGCTACGGCCTGCACTGGTTAGGCCGCTTGACGATGAGGCGCGTGGTATGACTTGGTTTTGCCTGGAAGCGAAAGCGGGGTAGGTAATTCACGCTCTGATTTGCTTCATGGCGATGTCCGGTTTGCTTGCTCGCCGGTTGCTGCCGCGCCGGTCGGCGTCTCGCTGCTCGCCCATCACCGGCGCTCACGGAGGGGCCACGGCTGCCGGACGCATGCGCGTGAGCTGAGAAGCGCCACGCAAAATCACATGCCTTGAGCACCGCGAGGGAACGGCTGCAAGCGATGCGTCAGCGGAGGCGGAGAACAACCGCGAAGGGCATTGAATGCTGCCGGTGGCCCACCAACAAAAACCTCGGCTGGCAATGAAACTCGTGCTTCCTCTCGTCGTCCTTCCTCTCATCCTCCTCCTCCTCCAAATCATCATCATCATCATCAGCATCAGCAGCAGCACCACCACCAGCATCATCGTCACGATCATCATCATCATCATCATCATCATCATCATCATCATCATCATCATCATGATCATGATCATGATCATCATCATCATCATTATCATCATCATCATCATCATCATCATCATCATCATCATCATCATCATCATCATCATCATCATCATCATCATCATCATCATCATCAGTAGCATCAGCATCAGCATCATCATCAGCATCATCATCATCATCATCATCATTATCAGCATCATCATCAACAGCATCATCATCATCCACATCATCATCATCATTAGCATCATCAGCATCTTCCTCATCATGATGGCCATCAGAAATCGTTGTCCCCGCCATCCCGATCATCGGCGGTAGCCACCGCACGGAAACAAACAGATTTCGAATATTGCAAGGGTCACAATCCATCAATCATCCCGCACAGAGAACGTTATGTTCCAAGTTGGCGCGGGGGCTAAAAGCTCCTTGCGGTTGTAGGGATACGCAAGCTGCCAGAAGCTGAAACACGCACGTGGCTGGAGTCATGCACGAAAACGGCGCTCGTGCACCGTACCACTTCTGAGCCCCAGGCCCCGCTTCAGCGCGGTAGCGCTGAATAGCTGCTCTCCCGCCTCCGAGGGCAATCAAGTGTGCACCGTGCAACGCCTCGGTCGAAAGTTCGAAGATCGACACCGCCTCGGTATAGACGCCAGCGCGGCACGGTGCGCACGTGTCGCCCGCGGATCGCGCGTGGAACACCCTGACGCGTGGAGGCCGCGCGGCGGATTCACACTCCCGGAGGGCCGGCGCACCCGGCCACAGAAGGGCCGGGCGCTTGGAAGGTATCAGGCCACCTGCGCAGCCAGCCCTCGCCCAGTCCGACCGCGCCTCTTCTAGGGGGCAAACAAACCTACCTCGCTTTTGACCACCCTCGCTTCCAAGAGGTACCAAACGATGCCAAATTGCAGCCTGTACTGGTCAGGCCGCTTGACGAGGAGGCGCGTGGTATGGCTTGGTTTTGCCTGGAAGCGAAAGCGGGGTAGGTAATTCACGCTCTGATTTTCCAGCTTCCTGGCAGAGTCACCCGCCAGCGCTCTCCCTGAAGTTCTGACTCGAAGGTCGGTTGCCTGGTTCCCCCAAACACACAGCCAACTCTGCGGAGGGGGGAGAGGAGGAGAACGAGGAGGAGCAGCAGCAGGAGGAAGAGAAGGGGAGGAGCGGGAGAAGGAGGAGCGCGAGGAGGAGGATATGACGGGGGAAGATGAGGAAGATGATTGGTTTGGGGGGTCGGCTTGAAGGCTTTCCATGTCCAGCAGCAGTGCCGTTGTGGAGGCCGCTGTTTGTCTTCCACTGGCGCTTGCGGGCGCTGCGGATTACCATTCTATAGCACGAGCGAAGGATAGAGAGGAGGAGGAGCGAACGAAGCCTGAGAGAGCTTCGGTCTGCTAGCCGCGCCCCAAGGCCGCCGCGCGCCACGCTCCGCCACTCAGATCACGCGGGACCTGCAGGGCGTAGCGGGAGGCGGGGACGGCGGCGGAAAGACGTGCCGTGGAACGCCTGCGCGTTCCAGAATGCAATGCTCAAACCCGTGTCGGTGTGGTTGCTTAGCCCGAGCTTCCAGCGGGGGCTAAATCCACCGCGCGATCGCCCGGGCGTCCGAAAAGCCGGACTCGAAGGCAGCGCGAATGTCTCGCTGATGTTGCTCACCAACGCAGTGTCGCACAGCATCGGTGGTCCACTGCCGGCAGGTAGGCTTTAGGCTCGACACGAGTAGTGCACATGCGCAGCTGGATGCCAACCTCGCTCTTGTACGCGATGTAGCCCGAGGGGCGGTGGATCCGAAGGTCGAAGGATGGGAAGCGGTCATTGATGAACGTGGCCATGCGCTTCATCTGGACCTCTCTGCACACCGTGCGCGGGCTCTTGTCGACCGACACGTACACAACAATATCAAGAACGCCTGCGACGGAGATCTGATGTTCACGCCGCTGGCGACCAACGCGTCATGTTTCGTGTCGTTTGCGGGCGCGCGGTTCTGCCCTCAACCGTGCCGCTCGCGAGGGTGAAACTGTGGCGCTTGGCGAGGCCCGTGGTGTTCAGGAATCTGTGCTTGTCGCTGATCTGCGCCGCCTTGAACCATTCGGACATGGCTTTCTTGAGGTCGTCGGTGGTGAGAGCGGTGGCGCAGCCGCACCAGAAAGACAAGGGTCGGCAGGGCGGTCCCAAGTGCCGATGGCGTCCCAGTTGAGGCAGGGCTGGCGGGAAGTGGCGTCGCCCAAAATGCGCTGCAGCTTCCGGACAGATTCACGAAGTTCTCTGGTGGCTGCCTCTGTCCTGGCAACTCGTGCGTACACATCATGAACATCTCGCTCGGTCCGCTCGTGCTGGGTGTTGAAGTTGGCGGCGATTGCGGTGACAGATTCGATGGACTGTACTCTGGCGGCTTCTGTGACGGACTTTGGTGTGGACTCGAACTGGGTGGCAGCAATCTTGACCTGGGCGGCGAGGGTGGCTTCCAGCTGTTGTCGAAGGTGAGCATGGGTTTCTTGTGCTGGAATCTTGGAGGCCGCATTCAACCAAGGGTCTTCATTGGCGCTGCGCTTGCCGTCGGAGGGTCGGTCGTCGGAAGAGGACACGGTGGCCAGCCCGATACATCTTCAGGACAGAGGCCAGCGCCAACCTCGGGGAGATATCGCGCGTGGAACGTGGATATGGGCGTCTTCGGACACCCTGAACCCCAAAACGCGATCATCTCCTGAGGGGGCGCATTTTTCACTTCCTTTTTTTTCAACGCGACTCCCATTGCCTCGGAAGTTTAACGGGGGCTCCAGCACTACCGTGAAAACGACGCGGCGCGTTTCCAAATCGGAAACGAGGCCCTGAAAACGGACAGCGGGCGCGGAGCGGCCCGACTGGCCTCAGCCCCGCTCCCCGCGCACCCCCACGCTTGTAGGGGTGGCACTTGCGGGGACGGCTCCCCCCCGACCTCCGCCGCCTTCCGCCGACCTTCCGCCAACTTCCTCAGGCAGAGACGGCCTCGTTTTGCTGCCGCCAGCCTTGCGCCGCCCTTCCGCCGTGGAACGGAACGGCACGGAAGCCGGCTCATTAGCGGCTCCGCGAGGGAGCTGCCGGGGGGGGGCCTCAGCCCACTCACTGGTTGATGCACCCCTTGGTTGATGTACTCCTCCTTTAATTAACGGGCGAAGAGCGGTATAAAATGAACTTTTCCGCCGTCGGGGACACCTGCCCCAGGGCGGCTGGAAATTTATACCCTTACGGTGGCACCGTAGGGGTATAAACTTTCCAGCCGCCCAGGGGCAGATGTCCCCGACGGCGGAAAGTTTATTTTATACCGTTCTTCGCTCGCTGATTTAAGGTATCCCACACAGGTGATGCCGCGGAAGAGATGCCGACTCCTTCGGTCCTCGAAGGCAAGGCCCCTTCTGGAACGGAACGCCTCATAGGGAGGCCAACACCGCGGGCACGGTGCGGCAGAGGGTAGCCCTCAGCTGTCCCAGGACTAAGGGGTCTCAGCGCTCTGCCACGGGGCGAAAGCATCTTGAGCCAAAAGGGCTACGGATGTCGAGGAGGAGGAGGCGGAGGAGGAGGAGGAGGCGGAGGAGGAGGAAGAGGAGGAGGAGGAGGAGGAAGAGAAGGGGGAGAAGGCGCAGGAGAAGGCAGAGGAGGAGGAGGAGGAGGAGGAGGAGGAGGAGGCCTTGCTCTCCGTCGCCCTCTGGGCCCCCCAAGTAGGCCTTAACCTTACAAAACAACTCACTGCTTCGGGACAAAAACTGGTGGGTGCCGGGCGCGGTTGGCCCCGGCGTTCCTGGGGGCTCCCCAGTCTGCTTTCCTTACATCTGGACACCCGAAACGGGTACCGAAAGAATGGGTACAATGCCCAACAACAAATGTTGTCCCAAACCCACAGCGGCCGCTGTTGGGCAGGCGGCCTGCTGTCTGGAACGGACACAGGCCGCGGCGGCGCGGACAGCGAGCCCTGTTCGAAATGAACAAGGAACTGCGGTTGGGCACTGCACCCCTTCTTTCAGTGCCCATGTCGGGCGTCCAGATATTACAGAAGGGGGCCCTCGGAAGTTTCCCGGCCTTTCGCTTCCTTACGAGGGCCTTGGATCACCTCCCCCCCGCTCTGCCTCCTCGCCACAGGGGGCTCCTCGGGCCCCCTGATATCAGGGTTCCTCGGGGTCCGCGGTCCTGCTGCTCGCAACGCCAGGCAGTGCCAACTCCAAGCGCTGCGCCCATGCAGAAGGAAACTTTGCCCTCATTTGGGGCGCGCGGGATCCCGTTTCAACACGTGGCGCCCACGAGCTCCAGACCCCACCCCAAGTGGGCCACCGGCGGCCGCGCCCGGCCGCATTTGATGGGGCCCACCTCGCCAAGCTGGGGCCCCTATCGGCTCCTGCCCGCAGGCCCTGGCCAAGACCCTCGGGAGACCGAGGGTTGGCCGCAGGTCAGGCAAGAGGGGGGCCACGCGGGGCGGGGTGAGGCTGAAGGAAGGAGGAGATGGGACGTGGCGCGGCGTCTCAAAGAGAGTGGCCCAACTATACAGCGAAGTTCCCACACAGCCTGCAGTCAACCAGTATCATAAGGATGCACGATACGGGTGCAAGGGCCTCTTGGAAGGCCATGTCGACACTCTTCTTCGAGCAGGGCACGGCCAGCGGAAGTGGCCAGGAATGGCCCGAAGGGGAAGGTTGCGAGGGTATCCTTGGGAAGGTCGCCCATCATCACTCTGCGCGTTGACTGCCTGTCTGGCTTCTCTTCTGCCCCCGGAAGTTCCGGACCCCTTCCCCAGGAAAAACTTGTCATCCTGAATTGGCAAGGTCGCTC